TCTGTGATTCTGTGACTATAGTCAATCATTTTTGGAATGGTGTCTCCTGCAGAGTCACGAAATGAAGTTAAAATTCTTCAGGTCCACTTTGCAATTCTGCTCAGCAGCAAACCAGTGATGAATGGCTTATGTATGTCTTTGAAGAGCAGTAGAGCTACTCATCAGGCAGCTATTGGAGTGCATTTTAAACATTCAGCATAAGACCCTATTGCAGCTAAGGAAATAAAAAATTCAGGAATAGCTTTGCCTAAGGAGGCTGGAGCACACTCCTACTTTGCCTCAGGACCCACACAAGATTTAGAGTTTTTAAAAAATTGAGTCACTGGTATTAGTGGCTAATATATTGCAATAATAACACGTTACACTCTTTAGAATTGCAATGACAGAATAATTATCTAATTAGAAAGTAAAATTAATTATACCATGTTTTAATTACTTAATAAGAGAGACATAAATGGTCATCAGTGTAAGGCTAGGTAGGGACAGTCATGAAAAATTATAAGGGAATGCAATTTTGCTAGTTAACAGAAACTTCCTTACAAGTATGACATTTAAAATCATATAATTCCTCATAGGCGCATCAAGCTTTGTTTACCATCACTGTTTCTGTAACAGACAACGTCTGGGGATGTGGGGACTTGAAACTAGACCTAAGGAGCTCATGGCAAGAGCCAAGAGCTGTAGTTGGCAGCAGTATGTAGAGAGGCTGCTGGAGAGGGAGCAAGCCCCAGTCGAGCTGTGAGCTGGAGAAAATCTGTTTCCACTCTGAAGTAATACACTGAGATCGAAAATGTGCTGAGTAGCAGAATTCTTGGAAGGAAACACCACTGCAACTCAGAGAAAATATAATATCAGATTATACCTCCTATTGCTCTTAAGTGGGCCAGGATGGCTCTCAGGGGAATACCGCTTCTGTGAAAGAACTGGCTTACAGAGGAGCTCGAGATCTTTGGAGCAAATGAAAGAGGAGACTGGAGAAAGGAGGGCACCAAATTGCAATTATTCTGCAGCTCCAAAGTGCTGCCAGGAAGTCAGAAAAGGCACTGGTAATTTAGAGCAAAGCTGAACATGCTCATTGCTCAGGCTAGCCGGGCCCAGGGCTCAGAGCCTGCAGACATCCCATTATCTGCAGACAGGTTGTGACTCAGTTCTTATGTTAAGGAGGACACATATTGCCTCAATTGCAAGGAATGAATATTGTGCCGCAACATAAATGTGCAAAATGTGGCATCTGGAATAAGTACAGGAGTTATGGTACTTAAAAGAACCTGATATGACCCAGTATTTTTGTTGTGTATCTTGTTACTGGAGCAACTTTCCAAGGTCCTCCAGATTAGTTGAACGATGCGACTGATTAAGCGACTGATGCTTAAGATGATGTTGATGATGATGAAGTAAAATGGTGATGATGATGATTAAGGCAATAACCATGTAATGGAAGCCAGACAAACAAGAAGACTGTCTTTAACTAAACGATGAGTAGGCGAAAAACTCCAAAATATTCAAATAATATGTGTCTGTGAACCAATAAAGTGTTAGTTTTTGCAAGACAGGTTGCATTAACATTTGAAACATTAACATTTGAAAAGGTTTGTAAATAAGATTTCATGCAAACGTTCACTTGGACACAAGCTTGTGATCTATTAATTATTCCAAACAAACACCAGCCTGTTGTCATTACTGTCTGTTGCTTGCTTGTTGCTTTAATCTGTCCTTTGGTCCTGGATCTGCCAGATTTCCATAACTGGGTCACCTAGTTCTTTCTGAACTTTGCTTTCTGCCACAAAATGAAAATGATCGTTTTCTGTGACACACTTTCAGGGCTTCTATGAGGAGCTTAAATGGGCGGTTTTAATAAGGTGACCTGAAGTATGTGGGGAAATATGCAGTAAGAAATGAATTTGTATCTGTGGATAATATGAATTTTCAGTGACCAGTGGCCTTTGGAAACACCGACTAAGATGAAAACCAAAATCTGATTGTTGGCCAAGGAAAAAGAAGATAACTAATGCTGTGAGTAACTTGATATGAGGCAATATTAGATTCATTCTTTATTCCTTGTGTAGTGAAAAGCAGTATTATAGTGACTAATAATAAAACAAAACAAAAAACTCAGAAGCTCATTGTTTGTGAATGATTTACTAATTAAAATTAGGTTGCACAGGTGATAGGAAAAGGTGACAGTAAATGTAATTTGTAACTTCACCACTAGAGAGAGCGCAAGAGCTGTTTGTTAAATCTATTTTTAAAGCCTGCGTTTAACAGTTTGAATGAGGAGCCGAGGGAAATCTCAGAGAGGATCTGGGTACTGAACAGTAACTACCTCTCTGCAGCGAGCACGAAGCAGTCGTGAATGGTCCCTTGTGACCTGGACAGGGCAGGAGAACACTGCAAAGAAAGCACAGGGGGACTCGTGGCTTTTCAGAAGGCTTTTGTGCTCTTCTCAGCAGGGCACCTGCACAGAACGTACCCATCGCTAAGGGCAGAAAGCACATCAGAGGCAATCGTACAGAAATCCTTTCTTACAGAAAGAAAAACTGTATGGCAGTCTGCACTGCCTCTGCACTACTTACGCTGATTTTAAACTAGCATATAGGCTGCCAACAGGGGAAGTCAATTCTTTCTGTGCTCCATATGAACAGAAGTGGATGCAGCAGAACTTGTAATCAAAATCAGCCCAAGACTGGACACTTCAAGGTCCCCAGGGTGAGGAGATCTTTCATATAGGACTGTGTCCATCATGAATGAGAAGGGCTCAGTTTTGTACCGTTGCACTCATGAGCCTGAGTCCGAAAGGGAGTGAGGGTGAGAAACGATTGCAGCAGTCATTGCTGTGAGTAAAAAAACTGTAAGGTTTTGGCTTAAGTCTGATCTTCAGGACTTGTTAATAACGTGTTGTGGAACTCGAACCTAATTTTCTTTCTAGTAGTTCTCATTTCCTGCTGCAATTCTCTCCTATCTTCCCTCCTCTAGAAGGCAGAAATGAGCTTTTCTGGACATATTTCTATATATAAAAAAGCACACTAGAGGTTTAAAGCACAGTGACTACTATTGTTTTTCTATGCCTTCACCATCCCTGTTCTGCCAAACCAGACTCCATGTTCAAGGGTCCGATGGCCTTCCCAAACTTGACCTAACATGAGAATTGTGCACAGAAACTGGCAAATGATGTCCAAATGATAGCACAGCAGTGGGCTGTAACATTACTCAGCCTCATAGGACAGGCATGGACGAATATATTATCCAGCTGAAATTTCAGGGGGGATTTAAAAAGGCAGATTGTAATTAATTGAGTTGGAATTTGGCCAAGGCAGGGACTTTAATGTCTTCTTTCCTGGCTGATTTTTTTGCAGACTTAGGAGTAGCTTAACACCCCTGTCTAGCTGGTGCTTACACCTCCAGCAAGCCCAGTTCAGTCACATTCCTGTAAGAAATGTCAAACCCTGTGGCTGGAGGTCAGTCTTTGCCCTGCCCAAAGCAGTGTGTGCGCATCAAAGTCTTCAGCATTCCCTCGTCTCTGTCTTCTCCAGGATCCCTCCTCCTTGTCATATTTTTCCCTTGTAGCCAGTCCCACACCTTGATTTGACATGCTCTCCCCTATGTGCTTTGTCCTCTTTTCCAAGAGTAAAACACTGTGTTCTTGACATAGTATGGACCCAACTAGACTGCAGCAATTTTGTCAGTTATTTGCATAACGGTAGCTTTCACTCTTCCATTGTTACATGTTTCAACTCATTCATTATCTTAATGTCTATTTGAAGCACATGTTTAAAAGTATGGCCGAATTCACAGGCTCTTGTTTCAAACCAAACTTGTTTTGAAGCAGGTGCTTAACTTTCCACAAATTACTATAGCACTACAGGAGTTCATGGCATGTATGCTACCAGTACCACTTATCTGGATGTTGTGTCATTTTGCTGTAAACTCTAATGGGCCCTTCCAAACCAAGTGAAATGCTTTTAGAATATGAAGGAAAATAACAAGCATTTTTAAACTTCCTTCTTGCTCTTTTTCATCAACTATCAAAGTATGAATATCTGATTAATGCAACTTCATCCTGATCTAAAGCCATACTGTTTTTCTCCCACTACTCCCTCTAAAATTAGCTTTGATGTGCTGACTCTTGCTTTCATCAGAATTTTTCTCAGTACTGACAATAAGCTTACATCTCCATAATTATTTTGATCAGCAGGATCTCCTTTTGTCAGGATTCGTACAACTATCGCCTTCAGCAAGTCACCTGGTAACTTCTCTCACTCCCACAACTGTTTGTTTTCTTGTACGTGCTCCACCAGCTTTCCCGTTTTTAAGTGATTCTCAGCTTTGTTTGTTCTTATGATCCCAACTAAGTCCTGATTCAGCTCTGCCTTGCAAACTAACAGGTCTGCGCTTGCCAAGTGGCATTAAATCACACATATCCAAGTATGCTCACAAAGTGTTGGTGCTTAAATCCTGAGCATTTAATATAAGACTAGCTTATACTGTCTCACAGATAATAAGGTCATTGCCATTAACAAGCACTTCTTGGAAGTCTTCATCAAGTATTGATCTTCTTAAATATAAAAGATATAACCAGACAAGTGCTTATAAAGACTGGAAGGTACCATGGTTTAATTCTTGGAGTTATGTCTATCACACTCTTTTTTTTTTTTTTTTTTTAATGGAAGGACCATGTTATGTTAGCCTTTCAGATTGCAAATGGATGTGCTCAATGGCGGTAAAACAAGTAGTTTCTTTTCATCCCATTCCAGCTACATTTTTGGCCTTACTTTATCACAGACAGCATCTCATTCCTTATCTCTTTTTTCTATACTCCTCTCTGCTAATGCCCTTCTCTTTACATTTTTTTTATCTCCCTTTCCTCCCTCTCTCACAGAATATTCTCCCACTTTCAGAGCTCTGAGAACCCCTTCACTCCTCAGAATTACGCTTTTTTGGGCCTCATTCATAGTATTTGTGGCTTTGGTGAAACTGCGGAGGCCCTTCAAGCTCCCCCTGCGATGGAGGCGAACACGCTCAGCAGCTTGCAGATCGGGTACTGTATTTGGGTCATTAGCTCTGGAGGGCAGAGCCTGATCTAAATCGATGTTCGCACAACTTCCCCGACGTCAATGGAGTTAGACCAGTGGTGAATTTGGCCCTCTGCCTCTTTCAAGATGCGTAAAATGCATGTTCATATAGAACTCTCTCTAAATAAGAATTGGCTTGAAGATTAAAAAAAAAATACTATGATCGTGGCACATGATTAAGCAACTTTTCGCTCCCAAGTTATTTACCCTGCCATCCATACACCCATTCTCTCACATGAGTTTCCCAGAGCTTAGCTCACTCTGTGTATTCTCTTTTTTTTTTTTTAACTATACATTGGCCTTTGCTGACAGAACGGTGTAGAGGAAGCGTTTCCTGAAAGTAAGCAGATGTGATCCTCAAAAGTGACTTGCGTAACATGGACATTTCTTTATGCGGGGCCACGGGTCGCAAATTCCATGCTCAGGAAGGGTGCAGAGAAATAAGAAGGGTTTTGTTTTTGGTTCTTTTCGCGAGGCGTCTCTCGGTTAGTTCCGTTGCTATCGCTTTGAAGGCCACTTTACACACCCTCGTGAAAGCAGGGTTTGTGCCTCTGCCGCCGCCGATAAGGAGCCGGGAGAGGTGGGGGTCTCACCCCGCCCGCTGACCACACAGCCCTTTCCCTTTCCTCCTCCTTTTTGGGTATGCTCTTTCTGAGGTGCCGGGACGTATGGCAGAAGGGATAGCTGTCTCCTCATTATCGTGGCTCTGCAGAGGATGCGCTCAGCAACATTTGCCTTTATGCTGCAACCACATTTCTTACAACTCCTCCTTAGCTTCACTGGCTGTGTTTAAACCTTGGGTTTCCAGCTCTGTTGTTAAGCACCATTATCAGCCCCCTCAGCTGCGTTTCAGCAACACACAGGATATCCATGTGCCAGTGAAGCTCGGACCTATGGGCTCCAGCTTCCAAAGCTCCAGGGGATTCGCTCAGGGCGGCCGGGAGGTTTGGCCCAGCTGTACAGCACATTTCTGGTGCCTGCTGCCACTACGTTTGCAGAGCAGATTGCCTCCTAGCAGTCTCCTCCTCAGCCAGGGACGCATCAGAAACACTTTGTCTTTTAATCCTCCCACCATCCCTCTTCAAAAGCTTTTGCCCTCTAAGGAACTCCCTTAAGGGAATACCACTTAGGACCGATTTCCCCTGAGCTTCCCAGACGCCAGCGGGAACGCTGAGCCGCGCTCTTGCGGGAGTTCACGCTCCCAGATACCCATCGGCTGCAGGGAGCCGCTCGGGCAGGCAGGTGGGCTGGGGTTACTCAGGTGTTCTTGGCAACAAGTCCCTTCATCTCCTTGTGCTGATTCAGAACACCACCGTAAGCTCTCTCTGTCCCCACAGCATTTTTATTCTGTTAGAAAAGTCACAGATTCATAACCCTTCTCTGTGATTATTCCTCACTCCGTGTAATTCTAACAGCCCTTTTATTGGGTAGGTGTTTTTGTCTCAATCGTATGTATATTATGTTGCTTATGGGTTACTCTATATATTCCAGCCTGGTAGTTCTTCCAGACAGCAGTTTTGGTTAAAACACGTTAAGGGAGAAAATTGATGTTCTGCTCATTGATGCTGACATCATATATGCCCCTGACCTGGAATACCTTAGACATGTAAGTAACCAAGACAAGTGCAGCCTTGTTGAGTTTTGTCAAAATATCTACATGCGGTACCCTAGCATAGTAGGGTACACTTCACAGCTGAACCTCTACAGACTACTGTGATGATATATAAAATGAGGGCACAGGGCAGGAATTGAAACATGGTCCAGGTGACCGGAACATCTCCTGATTTCAAGAAAGCTCCTCCTTTTTCCTTAGGACTGCTTTGTTGCAGCCCAAGGAGAACTTTCCTAAGTTAACATTGGTTGTACAATTTAGGTACAGACTAGCCTGCACTTGAGTCTGTTTCTTGCTATCTTATATGATCATCAGAAGAGCATCTACTGAACTATGTGTACACACATGTCAGCCTGTGTTAGAAAACCTTTCTTTTTATCCTGAATATTATCACTGAGTAGTGTTCTTCTCTCAAGTATTTCTAGAACAGGTAAGATGTTTTGTATTCAGAGACAAACCTAGCATTCAGTGAAAGACATTTACAAAACAATTTGGGGAACCTGACCAAGGTCTGCTACTTCTGGGTTCTGACTGTGATTTCTTCCTCTATTCATGGAGCTGATTATGTCAAGAGAAGTCTTTATGGATCTGGTTTAATAAAGTCATGATAGATCTGACCCTTCTCATTCTTTTCTTACACACAGGCTTTTGTCTTAACTTCCATTCAGAAGTTAAGATACTTTTCCCAATTTTTTCCCCATTGTATTACCAAAGATTTTGATTTATTGTGCCTCTGCTCTTTCTGAGTTAATGTTATATGTTGCAAGAAGATTTTCCTGATCATTTGCCACAATAAACAAAGGATTGATTTTCAAATCTGCCTTGGGTTATCATAGACTTTAAACACATTCGGATCCCTACTGCTCACAATTTATTGTGAAAAAACATGTATCTATGGTATGCAAAACTAGCAAATTTAATGAGAAAGAGCACCTCTCTAAATTAGGTAGTGAAACTAAGTAGAGAGAAATGGTGAGTTCTACAGAAATGGGAATGCATCCTGATGAAGAAGGAGAATCTTCCAATACCTCCCTGAAAATTTAACTGTTCATTTAAAATGTTTGAGAAACAACCTCGCAAGCTCATTGCCACTGCTGTTGTCAATGACACATCTCACAGGGAGCTGTTTGAGGGATGTTAAGGATATTGGTTGTTTGGATAATATGTGGCAGCAACAGGTTTTTTTTTTTTTGATCCAGCTGTTGATTCAAGCCCCATAGTGCCAGATATACTACTGCTGACAAGATGGAGAGCCAACGTCTCCTATCAGAAGCACAGGATGGAGGGAGGATGGATGGTCATCCCTTGGAGATCTCAGTGGAAAAGAGAAGTCCCAGCTTGCTGCTCTCGCCACGTATCTTCAGAAACCAGAAGCAGCACCGCATGTTTCCAGTTCACACCAAAATATGAAATCAGCGCTCTGCTTTTCACCCTCCGGATTGTAACATGAGACAGGAATAATTGTTTTAATAAGGAATTAGAAAAAGTATTTGTGTAAGAATAACAAAGTCCAAAGTTTTGTTTACCCTTTAGTGGACACTTAAAACTTGGTGAAATTTTAAGAAAGAATTTGTTATAATAATTCTGTTTTATATGTCTCTCATTTTTTGACTCCAACACAGAATGTGAGCCTAAGCTATCCTAAGTACTTAAAATGAAGAGTGGAGTGCAGTATAAAAATCTCTAAGGTTTTACTAGTTGAACAGCTCATTCCTTAATAATATTTAGTGATCAGCCTTCTTCCCACCAAATCACTCT